TGTCCCGGCAACTACTGCGAGACAACGCCCACATCGCCGCTTACCACTTCCATAAGCGTTATACGCTGTTTAGAACTATTGTCCTGAAGCAGAAGTTTAACCTAACGGACTTTTGGGGTCGCTACGAGTGGCAGGGCAGGGGGTCCAGTCACCACCACGGCCTCTATTGGTTAAATAGCCATCCAGACTTAGATCCTGACAATGATCAGTCCCGGGAGCGATTCGCCCATATCTGGGGATATCACGTATCTGCTGTTAACCCAGAGACTCAGCGAATACAGGCGCCTGGGGAAGGGAACCCCCTGATCCTTAATCTATTACAGCAGCCCCTTACCGTTGGGTTCCTATCAATGGTAGTTAACCGCGTGCAACGACACCGCTGTAGTAACTATTGTATGCAGCTCAATAAACATACCAAGCAGGTCGAGTGCCGCTTTGGATTTCCTCACGGGCAACGCCTACTAGCCTCCCTAGACAAGGTTCCTCATTCTAAGCACTGGAGCTTCAGGGGCGAGCGGAATGATAGCCAGATTAACCACTATAACCGCTTGCTTACAATTGCGTGGCTGGCCAATACAGATATCTCCCCCTGCACGAGCCTACAGCAGGTAATCGATTACGCAGCTAAATACTGCTCCAAGTCGGAAAAGAAAAGTGAGTCTTTTGCCCAGATTGGGAAAGCCCTGATGCCCCGGGTCAAGGACCATAACCCCCTTATTTCCTTCACGTCAAAGCTCCTAAATCAGCTAGTTGCTGAGCGGGATTACTCAAAGCAGGAGGTTTGCCACTTGCTCCTCGGCCTGCCGTTACAGGAGGGCTCACGAACCTGCCTATATGTTGATTGCCGTAATCCTGACAAGCATTCCCGCTCCCTACGGCTCGACGGCGATGAGGTTAACGAGGCCCCCAACGTCTACGAAAAGTACTATCGACGCCCAGAAGCCCTAGAGGACCTGACCTATGTTTCCTTTCTTAAATACTGGAATTTCCGCTCTAGGGACCCTTCTATGTGGAAGCAATGGCAGCCAGGCAACGTTAACGGCAGGCCTCGTGTATTGGTCTACTTTCCTCGCTATCAGGCTGATCCAGAAGGTCAACAGTGGCCAGATTACTGCCGCGTAAAGCTAACATTGAACCACCCACATCGTCGGCTTGATGAGCTCCTCACATTTGACGGCCAGCGTTTTAATTCTCACGCTCAGGCCTTCTCCTATTGTTGGCAGCACCACAGTCATGGTGATGACCATTACGGCTGGCCAAAAGAGGCTCGACTACAGCCTCAAGAGGATCAGTACGAGGCTCTGCCTGTGGAGGAAGAATTTGATGACGAAGACTGGATTCGTCTCGCCGCCCTTTTACCTGACAACCCCCTTACCCAGGAAGGTCTTGACCTACTTGGCCGCCGCGATATCGACGTTAATTACGACTGGACACGGCATGTAGGTACTTATCCGGAACTTCGAGACAGTTACTGGAAAGACCTTATCGCTAGCCACCCTATAGCCAACGATGTGGAGGTCCTTGGCCCTCACTGGCGTGATCAGCTGAACCCACAACAACGGCTCGTGTACGACACCTTCATGGGCCACTTCCAGGCGCAAAGTCTTACTCAAATCCTTCTCCACGTTGACGGCGGTGGTGGCACAGGCAAGTCCTTCCTTATCAAGGTGCTATCCTCCCATCTCCAGGCGGCTGCCCTACCGAATCCTAGCCCTATTTGTCGCGTAGCGCCAACAGGCGTTGCGAGTAACCAGATACAAGGCAGCACCATTCATTCGTTGCTACGCCTCCCAGTAGGTGGTACTTTTACCGACCTTCCCCCAGCCGACGCGGCCGCCCTTCAGTCCCGCCTACGGCACGTCAAATACCTCGTTATCGATGAAAAGAGCATGCTAGGGCTTGAGCAGCTAGCGCGGATCGATTCCCGCCTGCGGCAGGCCTTTCCACAGCGTAGCCTCGAGTTCTTTGGTGGCGTGAGCGTCTTGCTGGTGGGCGATTTCTTCCAGTTACCACCCGTCCGGCAAAAGCCGCTGTATTCGACTAGCACCAGCCTGTCTCCGCTGGAAAGGAGAGGGCAGGTGGCCTACCGGTTATTTGACCGCACCGTCTTCCTGACCACGGTGCAGCGCCAAACTGGCGATGATCAGGCCCAGTTCCGTCAGGCATTGCAGGAACTGCGTGAAGTTCAGTTATCTATACCGTCATGGAACCTCCTTAGTAATCGGGTACAGGCCAAGCTAACACAGAGCGAGATTGACAGCTTCAGGGCCGCTTTGCGGGTGTATTCTACAAAGGCCCGGGTCAACGAGTACAATTACGAGCATATGGTGCACCTCAACGACCCGGCAGTACAGGTGGAGGCAAAGAATCGGGGCAACGGCGCGGGGCAGGCGCCAAGCGACAAAGCTGGCAACCTATCTAACAGATTCCCTGTTGCTAAAGGCGCCAGAGTGATGCTTACGACTAATCTATGGCAGCCAGTTGGCCTAGTTAACGGTGCGCAGGGCACTGTATACGACATCGCCTGGAACGCAGGCACTAACCCATGGGAAGAACCCCCGGCGGTTATTATGGTGGATTTCGATAGCTACGACGGGCCGCCGTATCTAACAACGAACGAGGGCAGGAAAATCGTACCCATCCTTCCAGTCACGCGTGATTTCCTAGTGGGCAACGAGACCTGCGCTCGCACGCAGTTTCCCCTGATCGTGGCGTTTGCTATCACCGTTCACAAATGCCAGAGCCTAACGAAGGATCAAATAGTTACTGACCTCGCCACACGCGACTTCCAGGCCGGTATTAGCTATGTTGCTGTCTCACGGGTAACCTCGCTGCAGGGCTTACTCCTTGAGGCGCCTTTCGATCGTCAGAGCCTCTATAACCACACGCCCACGGAAGGTTCATGTGCCTGTGTTTCCTACGTGCTGCGTTTACGGCTAACTATAAGGCAGGGATGAAGATGCGCCTCGTTGACCAACAACGCCGTCAGGCTCAACAGCTGACCGAGCCACCGTATCCACCACTCTACCTTGACTAGACGACGTCTTCCTATAAGCTACATAGAAAGGGGAGGTTCGATATATGGTATATAGTTAGATTCGGCCTCTCAGGAAGCGGTAGAGGAACCCCTGACTATCAGCCAACTCCCACTGCAGGCTTGACGCGGCTTTAACAGCTAGTTGCGCCGCAGGCGAAAGGGGGGGTTCTAGAAATCCCCCTATGAAAATTGAATTGCAGGTATACGGTATTACCCTTTGGGCTGGATATTCAGCCGTTAAGCCCCTTGCCTTGGCAACTTAACGGGTGTTCGAAGTATTTTAAGTATTTAGCTACCTATATTGGTTATCTAACATCTCACATTACCATGTTTCTATTTATATAAGCAGGATAAGCTCTTCATTTGATTATACATCTATTAGAAGTTAAAACAACTCCATTCATATATATGCTTACAGTTAGCGATGTTTATATAAGTGATGAGTAATGTTCCCTAAATGCTTATAATACTGAAAAGCCTGCCTATAGTAAAGGTTCCTACTCTTAAAGGGCAAGTTACTACTGCTAAAGTGATGGGTTTTACGTAAGTGTCTACAAAGAGAAATGAGGCAAATTGCGACTATAGCAATGTAACAAATTTTTGACATCTCATCATGGAGCACTGTGATTATTATAAAACGAAGCGCAAACACCAGTAAATGGAAATGCACTTGCTAGAGCTTGGCTTTACTGTCCAGCGAAGTCCTGAATCCAACAATGCCAATTAAAAGCCGTCGGACGTTGATGCTCTGTGAGAGAGGTCCAGACATGCGCTAAGAATGGTTGTAGCTATCATAATAAGCACCCGTCCACTCACCCACAAGAAGAATCCAGACGTCAACCAGCACAGGGGCCAAAAGAAATCCACCACAGCATAAGAAGAAAGAAAATGGACATGGTGCAATAAATAAAAAAGACAAAAAGAAAACTTTCAGGGCTCCACCGGGGCTCGAACCCGGGGCCTCGTGCAGCTGAGATGAATTCCCAAAGCACGAATCATACCACTAGACCATGAAGCCTGTTAGATGTCAATCAGCCAAACAAATTCTGTACATATGGTACCGCAACAATTCACATCTCGAAAATGCGGCCTTCCGTCGATTCATAGGACTCGAGGCCACCATTTTGAACATTCTGCAACTTCTACGAGCTTATCGCATTCTTTTGCAGCAACCTACATTCCGTGGCTCATTCTCTGCGGATGATACCCACCCGGAGACACCAGGTGTAACTATAGAATGAATCGCAGGCAGTGATCCAGCAGTAATAGTGACTTTCAATGCTGCGAATTCACCTCCCGACGCCTCCCATCGACACTTATCATCATTTTTACGAGGCGGAATGTTTTCCAGATATCAGGTTGAGTGGTATTCAAGTCCCCAAACTACAGGTCTTACTGAGGACTCGTGGAACTGTGAGGACTTACAAGGCTGAACTATTTTACGATGCGAACGTCTGACATCAGATCTTGACATGTATAGAATATTGGAAACTGAACATTTAGAACGTCTCAACACTTAGAATTGAGACCAAAGAATAAAGGATGGCGAGTGCGAGCGAGCCCTACAAGAACCACCGATGGCCAGAGGTCACAGAGTGTCTCTCTCACCAAGGCACCTGCTCCACTATCACCAGCCTTCAATCTCCTCCATTAAAGGCCAGTAAGCTTGACATGGTAAATCAATGAATGGCCAAACTAGAGCAACGATTCACCCTAGAGTCTAAAATCTAAAATAGTAAAAAGAAGCTTCCCTGCTGCCTCTTTTCGTAGTACTCACGATTCGGGTTTTGTCCATCAATTTTGAAATGACAGAAAGCGACTCCAATTAACCACCGCCGACTGCCAACAAGAAGTAAAAAACATTGGACCGACTCTGCTCACCTCAGGGTGAGCTGTCGCGCATAGCAGTCCCATCGACCCAAAAGAAAATGATCGCTACCCAAAAAGGGCCAAAAAAACAAGATGCCCCCAGGCGGAATTGAACCGCCGACCTTTGCATGCCTTGTGGCAGTACAAGTGCAACGCTCTACCCCTAAGCTATAAGGGCTTTATCTTGCTGTGGCGATTTGTCATCTAACTTAGTATTAAGTACCTCACTTTGGAAAGGTAGCTTTGGTATGATGCTACCACGCTCACAATTTTCCGGTTGAATGGCAATTATCATTTGCGTACGGCTTTTACTAATTCTTATCCTGACGGACGGTCTTTTTTTTGGGGTTGTGTCGATGATGTTAGATGTCGGTCCTCACCTCTTGCCTTCCTTAATCCTTCAAGTTCACATCCAGAATACTAAATGTTTAAAAAACGGCGAATGAGGCCTCAGAGGCGAAAGATGAATCACGAAAAATGCATACTATGCTTAAAGATGTTTATTGTGTCATTACTCAAGTCATATGCTGAATTATCTTCTCATCCGGCCGTCTCCGAGTCGTGGCTGGTTACCTCTGCTAGATTTCCGCGATATTACCCTACACTCTCCGCGCTAACACGGAGCTTACCCGCGTTAATCCTCAGCGCGTCCGCTACAACTCGACTCGCTCAGGAACAGGAAAGGAACAAGGAAAGGAAAGCAAAACACATCCGCCAACGCCTGTATTTCTCTATATGCGGAATGTACACCTGGTAATGCACGGTTGGTGTAATGTGAGAGAGGGGTGAGATGTAGGGCCAGGCGCAGGACATTGCTAGGCGACAGCCATCTCAATGTTCTTTCCCTTGACGCTCTTCCACTCGGTCAAGGCGGCGCCGACAATGGTGGCCGACGCGGTGGCAGCTCCTACTAAAAAGGCGACGTTGAGCGCGTCGTTGTAAGCGCGGATGACGTCGGACAGCCACTCGGCGCGGATGACCTCGCGGATATTGGTCGCGCCGGCTTGGATCACGACGGATGGATCCAGGTCCGGCACGTATTCTTGGATCTTCTCAATGAGCTTGTTGGTGAAGATGGTCTGACCCGCCGTCACACATAGCGCTCCGCCGAGGGTCTGCACGAAGATGATCATGGCTGTGCCCGTGGGCACGTCGGCCATGTCGCACACCACCTGCACCGCGACGAGCGGCTGCTGCATACCGATGCCGACACCAATACCGGCTAGGAGTTGGTAGCCGATCCAGCCAGCTGCAGGCGTGTCGACCTTGAGGGTGCAGATGAGTCCGTAGCCGATGGCCATGAAGACGGCGCCGCCAATCATGAAGGGTGTGTAGTATCCCCACCAGGTGACGATACCGCCCGCAATCATGGAGAAGAGGACGACACCCAGCAGCATCGGCAGGTTTCTCACGCCGGACTCGATGGCGGTCGAGCCCTTGACAGCCTGGAACCAGATGGGCAAGAAGTAGACGGCGGTGAGGAAACAGGCGCCGGTGTTAAATGCGAAGAAGCACGAGGCCCAGACGGAGCGCTTCTTGAAGATGCGCGGGGGCACGGTGGCATTCTCGCCCATGCGGATCTGGACGTAGATGAAAAGGAGCAGCAGCACCGACGACAGCATGAACAGCGAGGTGATCTTCGAGTTGTCCCACTCGTAGTCGACGCCGCCCCACTGCAGGGCGAGCAGCAGGCAGATGACGGCGGGCATGAAGATGACGGTGCCGATGGGGTCGAGCTGCCACATGCGGACCCGCCACGGCGCCGGCTCGATGTGCCGCTCCGGGTCCGGGAAGTAGACGGCGATGACGCCCATGGTCACGACGCCGATGGGCAGGTTGATGTAGAAGCACCAGCGCCACGAGACCCGGTCCGTGAGCAGGCCGCCGAGGAGCGGGCCGGCCACCGACGAGATGCCCCACATGCCGCTCACCAGGCCGGTGTACACGGGCCGCTTGTGCAGCGGCACCGTGTAGGCGAGGATGGTCAGAGCCCCGGCGAAGATGCCCGCGGACCCGACGCCCGCGACGGCTCGGCCGATGATGAGGGTGACACTGTCCCCCGCGACACCACAGATGAGGCTGCCCACCTCGAAGATGGCGACGGTGGCGAGAAAGGTCCATTTGATGGTCCAGAAGGTGTAGAACTTGCCGAAGAAGAGCTGCAGCGAGGCGCCGGTGAGCATGTACGCCGACCCGTACCAGCCGACGTCGTTGAGGCTGTGGAACTCGTCGGTGATTTTGGGAATCGCCGTTGCAATAATCGAGTTGTCTGTGTGTTGTGTTAGTGGTGACCAGTGCTGGTAAACATGTGTTTGGGGCACGAACCAAGAGCCATGACAAACACGGCCAGACAGAGGGCCAATGTGATGAGAGCTAGCTTCATGCCAGTAGGATATTCGATATCATCATCACCCTGTCCTGAGCCCGCACTGGATTCGTCAACGACGTTTTGCGTCAGCTTCTCAGTGCTTTCCGTCTTGGGCGCCGTCCGGGGGCGTGTACTGTCGTAGCGGAGTGAATATCGGAGCGAGTCGCTAAAGACGGACTCCCTGGGGTTCCTTGTTGGCTCGCGGTAGTCATCGTGCTCGATAGACCGCCTTGTGAAGTTGCTTGGGGCAATAGACGGCGGACGGGCAAGGTCCTCTTCCGACGAGAGCCAGGCGTTGGCGTTCCGAGCCAACATGGCCGTCTCGGGGTCAAAGTGGAAGTGCTGCGACGACGCCATAAGGGACGAGTGCAGAGTATCTTTGGGCAAGCGGATGCTCAGCTTCGACCTGCCCATGGCAGCCGTGGAGTAGTCGGGGGGTGACATGAAAGAAGCCATCTTGGTGGGATATCTAGACAGGATATCTCGACGAGACTTGGCTTGGAAGGCTTGATGAGGCACAATGTCTGGCAGCTGGGACCCGAGATGGGGAACTTATAATGTCTTGGGAGCCACGGCCATCTTGTGCGACTCCCGTACTACGTGTAGGACTCATTGGTGAGACTGGTGAGACCTGGTGAGACTGGAGACTGCAGCGACACACAAGTAAGCCTCCGAGGCCCAAGATGCGGGTTCCATGGACCACCGGCCAGTCTCCGCCGGTGGAAGGGTGCGAATGCGAAGGGCCCTACTGCTCTACTGAAGACCCTAATGCACTCCCCTCGTATGTAATACGCCTTTAGGGTTGTGTACAGGCAGGCTTAAAGTGATGACAGCCAACTTTGCTAGCTGCCAAGCATGCATGGTGGATCTGCGCTCGCAGGTCGCCCATCCCACGGCCAAAAACGGCGCATGCTGTAAGCATGGAGAAGCGGCCTCTTGAGGCTCCCCGACGGACTCCTTGACGAGACCGAGAGATTCGGCCTGCCAAGTCGAGAGCGTGGCCACTGCCTTATCAACAGGTGCTCAACGTGCTGGTGTATCCCCTTTTGTCCCAGGCCAGATGGCTCATCGTGGTAACGAAGCCAGCGGGTTCCGGAGCCCGGGACGCGCTGGAGAGGGAAAATCGGAAATCTGGCCTAGCAGTATATCATTGTCATTGTGCTGCGAGGGGCATCCAATAGTACAGCGAGTAGTGTAGTATAGCCGGCAGATGCGTGCCACTGCGGCCTAAGATTCTCTGACCGGTGAGAGAGATGGATGCTGATGAGAGGTTGTGGGGGTGAGGCTTGGTGGTGTCCGCGCCTCGTTACTCGCAGCTCGCGCCTCGCGTCTCGGACACCGAGAGAGCACACGCATGCCCTGCACATCGAACTGCAACATAAAAAATGCCACCATCTCGTCACATGGGATCCAACAGGCGCACCAGCGACGCAGTAAAATCTTGAAAAATTGAAGAAGAAGTTTATCCATGTGTTGACGGCTCTGTCTCTCCCTACTTGGGTGTTAATTGTGCCACCTTTCCACTGTCTCAGGCTATCACACGTCTGAGTCTCTCCCATCTCCCCTCTTCTCTCCGACAGCACACCCTAACTCAACGGAAAGCCAACATCTTTCTCATCACTCGAAATGTTCAACGTCTGACATGATGCCAAGCTTCGTACTTGACTACCTATATGACATCATTTCTTGGCCTCCCGAGCCCGGAACTTTGTGCGACATTTGCGTCCATTTCAGCGCGGAGACCTGCCTGGCGGAGCCGGAGCCGGACCGGAGACCCACTGACTAAGCCGGCTCTCCGCCAAACTTCCGTCCCGCTGCATCGCGTAGATGATCTAACTCATACTCTCTCAAATCGGAAACCGCAAGTCATATCAGATGGTTGATCGTAGTGGCAATGCAAAATCGCTTGCATCGGGGCTCTCTCGAATGGTTGACTGTGCAGGCATCTGATGCTGCGCATACATCAAAACAGGAACATGCTCTGGATGTAGTACTGCCAAGACGAAGAAGAGTGTCTATTTTAATCCAGCAATTATGGGCTATGGCCGTTCTGTTTGGGCTTCGCCTTAATGACTCATGGTCCTTGTGCGAGAGGGAATGGTGATAAAGAATGGAAGTACGAGTATGAATCAACACAAAAAATAAAGTACACGGCACCATCCGATGTGACCCGCGCCCATTCACAAATAGTATGTATACTTATATCCGAAATAGTCCTCTTGGCCTTCTCATTTAGCTTGACTGAGCTGTAGGGCTGCCTTCCGCAAATGGGGTGAGCCGGATGCGAGGGCTGGCGCGTTGGGGTTCATCCTCCTCTTCAATCGTCTTTGCGGATCCTGGTGTATAATTACGACCTCGTTTGTTCCCCTTGTCGGACAAACTGTGTGCATCCAAAATATTTTCTTGCCCCACCAGGTTGGCAAGGTTGACTCCAAACTTGCCCATGGATGGAGTTCGCTGATTGACCTCCGAGAAAGTCAGGTCCTTGGGACCTTTCATCTGTGACGCATGCAGGGAACTTGGAACAACCCCCCCGGATGACACACGCAACTGCTGAGACCAAATTTGATCATATTGATGAGCCTTTGCAGTAGTTGAGTTTGAAGGAAGAGCCGTAGGACCGAGTCGGTGCGTGCGGGTTTCTTTGCGAGACCGAGGCTCAGCTAGCGGAGTGGTTGAGCTTGGAGTGCGGAGTTGGAAGGGCGTTGTCTGATTAAGCAGCGAGTTTGTCAGGGTATTGGCTAGATCGGTGGAGATTCCGCTACCCTGGGTGATGATTGGAAAAGGGACACCTGGGACATGTTAGTGTG